AATTGCTTTTCTGTGATACAATTCCTCAGCAGTGACAGCAAACAGAAACAAAGCTTCATCTAAAGCTGCAATATGCAATGGTGTGGAGGTCTCCTAAAAGGAGGGCAATGGAATATCTCAACATGGACCCCTGAATCAGATGGTAATGTAAAAGAAGCAATTTCACTGAACAATATTGGGAAGTTATAAGCATGGCAGGACTACACCCTTGTTTACCAAGCTTCCACCCCTAAGCACTCAGAAAATGCACCACTTACCATAACAGATCATGTTCTTACAGTTCAGAGTGCAAAGACAACAGCTCTGACACATTGTGCCACAATAAAACCTGTGGAATGGGTTTGCGCATTGGTGAATGCAAGCGACAATTTTGTGTTCATCTGTAATCACATTGGCTTCACAGAGATGACACAAATTATGTTGTTGAATGGTTATGATAGCTTGAAGCTAATATTTGTATTGTGCATTCCTGGTCAATGTAGGAGTTGCACATGAAATGCAGTTTGATGGCAGAGGTGTGGCTTCTTTAAATGTATCGATGCCCAATGAAGGTAATTGCCCCTAGGATCTCAAATCGCCAACATGTTAACCCACCCCCACAGACTGAAAACAATCTTACTACACTTACTGTGGATATGTTGGCAGCCATTTCTTTTCCTTATTGTGCAGTTGAGATTTGGTCGAAGATGGTATGTTGTCCAGTTTGTACTCTTCTTAGTGAGCTCTAGGCCCCACCTGAAAATCAGGAGTATCTCTCCACCCCAGCCTTGTTGCTATTGTTAACACTATCAGTTTTCACGCTTCGCACATACCCATCCAACCCTGTCATTTGTGAAAATTCCTAATTTTTCCCACTCAGGCCATGGCTTGCTGCATTGCCATCCCCACAATAGCAATCCACTCTCCTCCCATTGAAGCTAGAATGGGTAGTGCCTTTTGAAAACACACCCTCCACAGTACCACATGTTCCCTCTGCTGTATCAGATGTCACCTTTATGTTTGGAATTGGCCTCTCTCGTTGTCATTATCCCTTTGGCATCACAACATTTCTGAAGAAGGGTCTAGGCCCGAAACGTCAGCCTTCCTGCTCCTCTGATGCTGCTTGGCCTGCTGTGTTCATCCAGCTCTACACCTTGTTATCTCAGATTCTCCAGCATCTGCAGTTCCTACTATCTCTCTCCAACACAGCCCACAGCTAGACTTGATTTTTCCCCATTATCTAGCACTCTGTGGACTGCCCCCTGCTAAAATCACTGACCACAATGACCCGAACCCCCAGGACTGACCCTTGACCAATCTCCAGAATGACTTGTGAGACAGCCAAAGCTGATCATGGCCCAGACCCAGGCTGGTGTCTGTACATTACCCTGAGTGACCTCCTGGTAATCCCTCAATTGGTTAGGGTTGGCCTGGAGGACTGACCGTGACCCAATCCCAGACAGTAAAGACAATGATCCCCAGACAATGCTAGGACTAAATGTCTGACTGATTGATTATGGCCGACTCCTTGTATTGTAATCAGATGAGCCCCTTAATTAACACTGGCAGTATCCTCTGAATGATGGCGTCTCCTTTCATCCCACTAAGAAATAGACCTCTGTGACTTTCAGACATGGCAAGTTGGTTGAACTGTGTTTGCTATATCAGCACATATGTCAAGCTGTCTGCCTATCTGCCTGCACTGAAAGCCAAGCCAAGCCAGAGGTGCTGAGAGCCTGTAAATTCTCATTGAGCACTAAAAGGCAATGCAAGCTAGAGATGCTGTGAGCCTCAAAGTGAGCTGAAAGGGAAGAAACTGTGTAGATGTATGAGATACATGTGTCTCTATGAGCAAAATGACCTGCTAGAAGCATGCATTGCATAAGTGTCCATGAGCACCTATGCAAAGTTCATAAGGGCTGAAGCGGTGAATGAGCTGGTCAAACTTGCAAATTCCATCTGATCCTGGAGTTGAGCACCCATAAGACCATAAGACATAGGAGCAGAAATTAGGCCATTCGGCCCATCGAGTCTGCTCTGCCATTCAATCATGGCTGGTAAGTTCCTCAACCCCATTCTCCTGCTTTCTCCCCATAACCCTTGATCCCCTTGGTAATCAAGAACCTATCTCAGTCTTAAATATACTCGGTGACCTGGCCTCCACAGCCTTCTGTGGCAGTGAATTCCATAGATTCACCACTCTCTGGCTGAAGAAGTTTTTCCTTATCTCCATTCTAAAAGGTCTTCCCTTTACTCTAAGGCTGTGCCCTCAGGTCCTAGTCTCTCCTACCAATGGAAGCATCTTCCCAACATCCACTCTGTCCAGGCCATTCAGTATTCTGTAAGTTTCAATTAGATCCCCGTCATCCTTCTAAACTCCAATGACTGTAGTCCCAGAATCCTCAAACGTTCCTCATATGTTAAACTTCTCATTCCTGGGACCATTCTCGTGTTGACAAGGTGAGGCTGGTGGCTTAGTGATGCCTCCTTGCTTGGATGTAAGATTGAAGAATCCATGGGACATGCAGAGAAATGATCAGGGTGGAGCTGGGTAAAGGTCCAGAGAAGCAAGCAGTGAGCTGTGGCATCAGATAACCACACTGACTTCCATACTGGCGTTGGTGTTATCTGGATTCTTTGGGAAGGAGGAGAGAACAGCGAACTGCATAGAAATGCATAGAAATAAGGTATAAGAGAAAAATTGCACATTTTTGTCTTGATATCAGAAAAGTAATCTTTAATTAGTATTAAAAAAAACCCAAAGGGTTTTGTGCAAACAAAATCAAGCAACAGACTAACTAGTGAAAAACCCATTAGCGACCGTAGATGTGATGTGGTGTGGACCTGGAAGATATATGCACAGTCCTCATTGAAAACTTTACACTGGTCTTCACAATGGAAAGGGACAATGCAGACACAGATATCAGTGTAGAGGACTGTGAAATATTAGACAACTTTAACAGAGACACAGGAGGCAATAGCCAGTTAAGCAGCCTTAAAAATGGAAGAGTCTAGTGGCTTGGATGAGATATATTGTAGTTTGTTGAGAGGGAAAGAAAGGAGAATTCAGGAACCCTGACAGCCAGTTTGAGGTAAGGTGGCTGAAGACTGAAAGACTGCTAATGCTGTCCATTATTAAAACAAGGAACGAAGGGATAGACCAGGAAATTACAGGCCAGACAGGCTATTCTCGCTGATGGGGACCATTATTAGAAAGAATTCTCAGGGACAGAATGTATCTCTATCTGGAGAGACATGGATTAATCAAGGATAGTCAGCATGGATTTGTAAGAGAAAGTAATGTTTGACAAATTTTTATCAAGGCTTTTAATCAAGTCCCTCATGGCAGACTGGCCAAGCGAGTGAGAGCCCACAGGCTCCAAGGCAAAGTGACATACTGGATCTAAAATTAGCTGAGTGGCAGGAAGTGGATGGTGATGGAAGAAGGATGTTTCTGTAGACTGAAAGTCTGTTTCCAGTGGTGTGCTGCAGGGCTCAGTGCTGGGGCCTCTTGCTCTCAGTGGTATATGTTAATGATTTGAACTTAAATGGAGGGGGTATGATCAAAAGGTTCACAGATGACACAAAATTGACAGGGTGAGAAATAGTGAGCTGTAAATCTCAGGAAGATATCAATGGCCTGGTCAGGTGGGCAGAGCATTGGAAAATGGAATTCAACTTGGAAAAGTGTGAGGTAGTGCATTTAGGGCGGGCTAACAAGGCAACGGATTACATTATGAATTGTAGGACTCTGGCAAGTATTGAAGATCAAAGGGACCTTGGTTTGTATATTCATAGATACCTGCAGGCAGCAGGACAGGTAGGTAAGGTCATTGAGCAGGCATATTGGATACCTGCCTTTATTAGCCAAGGCGTAGAATACAGAACAAGGTGATACTGGGATTCCAGCTAGTTATTCCACAACAGGAGTTTTGTGTGCAGTTCTGGTCAACAGTCTTTAGGAAGAATGTGATTGCACTACAGAAGGTGCAGAGAAGATTTACTGGGATGCTGCTGGCTGCAGGGTCTGAGCTATGAGGAAGAATTGGATAGATGGGGTTTATTTTCTTTGGAACAGCAAAGGTTGAGAGTGGAACTTGTTGAGCTGTACAAGGTTATGAGGGGCAAAGATAGGATGGATTGGAAAGCACTTTATTCATTAGTACAGTCTAAATAATCGGGGACATAGAGGTAAGGTAAGAGATTTAAGGTAAGAGATGTAAGACTAAGAAGGGAGTTGAGGAGAAATATTTTCACTCAGAAGGTGTAGGAGTCTGGAACTCACTGCCTGAAAAGATAGTTGAGTCAGAAATTCTCATAACATTTAAGCAGTATTTAGAAATTCACTTATGTTGCAATAGTCTTCAGGGATAAGTGCCAAAACCTTGAAATTGGGATTAGTGTAGCCAGATCATTGTTGATTGGTGGGGACATGATGGGCTGAATGGCCTCCGCCTGTGCTATAAATATGAGAAGTTGGAATGGTGTTGGGGGTGTGGTGAGGGACGGTGGAGGGAGCACACGGTGAGTTGTGTGTGAAGGGTGAGACCCAGGTGGCTTAATATTAAATAAAAGTAATGGGATGAAGTCTCAGAGCAATGAAATGGGACTTTTAAACAGGCCATCTAAGCACTGGGCCTGTGACTGCCTCTTCAATGTTTCTGGGGTGCAGGCCCAGCTCCAAACCTCTTGGAATAAGAATCCTGAAAAAGGCACACCGAGTTTCAACGCCCACTCCACTATAAGTCTCTTGGATGAAAACCCAACCCTATATATTTGACTTTATTTGGAGCTTCTGATTGTACCTGCTTTCCCTACCCTTGCAGGCATTGAAATTCACATAATGACCACTTGTCACACGAAAAAACAATTGTGTTGCCTCTCTTCTTTTGTCAATTATCTTAAATCCATGCCTGCTGTTAGTGACCCTCTCGCCACCTCATGGTTAATGTATCTCTAGTTTAAAGCAATGAAATATAACTTGTTACTAAGTAATAGGCATTGAAAAATCACCAAATGCATGTAGGGATTGTGTAATTTTATTTCATACATTTCAACATAGCTTTATAAAAAGACTAAGAAAGGGTACTGCAACTTTAATACTGTGGTTTACATATAGATGGTAAAGCTTTGGGTACTTTATTCCACGTTGTAGTTTTGTACAAAAAGCACAGCTCTTGTGGTTCAAGTGTTATTGCAGGAAAAAAAAAGTTATTGCATAGAGATCAAACGGACACCGGTCAAAATCTACCAAGTCCCCGCTGTAAGTGTATCAAAATTGAATTAATACAATGTATTTTAATTGTTAAAAAAATGAACCTCAGATGTTGGTTTACAATTTGGATGATGTCGTAGTTACTTTGATGCACTGATAGAAAATGTCGATTTATAATTCCGAGTCCATACAGCTTTCCTATAAAATTGTTCAATAATCAGAGGATCATCTGATGCAACTGTTTATGGTACATCATGTTGCAGTCCATTATGTGGAGTGTTTAGCAATGTTGTATGTGCAACAATGGCAGTTGAGCCCGAGTTAGATTTCTGCTTCCATTATTTGAAATTAGAGTTTGCATTGTGCTCTTGTTGTCCATTTGTAAATTGACTATTTTCATTTTTTCTGGGGCAATAGGGGTTTCTGTTTAATGTCTCAGATTAGATGTATTGGCGCAGGGAAATCTTTTACCACTTTTTTTTTAAAAAATGATTATATGGCACTGATACTTGCAGCTGCATTTACTGAAAAAATTCAAACGTTTTCAAAATCGCTGGATGAAATGTCAAGTTCTCAGAAGATTTGAGAAGACACCAAGATGCTCACTGGCACACTCGGCTGTATTCCTGGCAGGTAGATCCCACTCCTGCGACAGACAGGTACAGCTTTCCATCTGGACAGACACAAACTTCATAAAGTCCCTGAGGATTTCCAGATCCCCCCTGAGCCCCATGAGGCAACTTGGGCAGTTTCACAGTCTCAGCATCTAACATTACCTGTTGAAAAAAAAGGTAAAGTCCAATTAACTATGCTGAATTACATATTTCAGTCTGTAGGAATATAGGAAGAGGAGTAGCTCTTCAGCCCATCAAGTCTGCCCCACAATTCAATGGCTGCTAAACACTTCACCCATTCCCATAAACGCTGTACACCATTGGTAATCAGAAATCTATTCATCTCTGATCTAACCATAGTCAAAGACTCCACAGCCCAGTGTGATAGTGAATTCCAAAGTTGCAAAACACTCTCGAGTAAAATAATTTCCTATATTTTGAAACTGTGCCGCCTGGGTATAGACTCCCCAACCAGGAGGAATATCTTATCTGCATCTACCCCGTCAATCCCTTTAAGGATTTTCTAGGTTTCAATGAGATCGCCACTTATTCTTCGAGGAGAATACAGACCCAATTTGCCCAATTTCTCTTCAAGGGACAGTCCTACCAACTGGGAACAAGTCGTCATTGCATTCCCTCCATGGCAATAATATCTTCCCTGAGGTAAGCAGACCAACGATACTCTAGGTGCAGTCTAGCAGTGTTTATATACAACTGAAGTAAGACTTCACTACTTCTGTACTCAAAACCCCCTGCAATCATGGCTAACATTCCATTAGCTTTTCCATTTCCTATTGGCTTGCTGTACCTGCATGTTAGCCTTCAGGGACTTGTATAGACAGAGCAAAATATGGATGATCCCTGAAAAGCAGGAGCAAGGATCAGGATGGGTGATTGACCTGTACCCATTCTTTCTGCTATAGGCAGCTTGGAAATGTCATGCTACCTGCCTGTACCAGGATTGCAGCATGTAGCTTGTTCTTAAAGTGCACAAGTGGCTCCAAGTTAGTGTAAGGCTTGGTACTTAGGAAAGGAATGATATATTTTCATCGGAGGTAGTTCGAAGGTTGACCAGCCTGGTTTCTGGGATGAAGGGTTTGTTTATAATGTAAGGCTCACCAGATTTGGCTGACGTTCATTAGAGGAATTGGGGGATATCTATTTGAAATACGTAAGATTCTAAGGGGCTTGACAAGGCAGATGATGAATGTGCTTCCACTCATGGGGAAATACCTACTGTCAAAATGTCATTGATGTTTGAAATGAACATTAAAAGTTGGGTCATTCAGCATATTCAGGATGCAGCTGGACAGATTTTCGATTGAACGAAAGAGTCAAAGGTTATGGGAATCAGGAAAGAAAGTGGAATTAAGATTACTATCAGATCAATCATGAATTTATCGAATGGCAAAGCAGGCTCAAATGGTCCAATCTTGTTTTTATTTCTTATGTACCACTTTAAGTCTGGTCTATACTAAAAGGTAAGTATACTGTCCTGGAGCTGGTGATGGAAGTAGCTGGTGGAGTGTATTTGAGCATGAAGAACACTAACTAATGTCAGAACATGGCAGAGTCCATGCTTCAAGGATCTCAGATGTGACCGAGACAGAGATGGAAGTAAGAGTAAACCATCATCAATGTCAATACCAGCATTGAAGTCCCAAGGATAAGGATGTAGTGCCACAAAACATTTAATGATCTTACACAATTAGTCAAAATCAGGAAGCATCAGAGTGCTATATCCTACCAACAGAGGTATCAACTTTACACACTGCTCAATACCCAACCACCTCCTTCACTCACCTATTACCCTGCTTCACAAGTGCATTTGGACAGGAAAGGCTCGATCTACTCCTGTTCCAATGCAGGTGGTAACAGGAAATCAGGTGAGAGTCTGGTGTAACTGACACCTGCATCCTTTAGTGCCAAGCAATTTTCTGTGATAATTTTTGCCAGAGTGACGGAAGTTTGGGTGGGTTCAGGGCAATGAGATAACACATTTATTTTCTGTTGCTGCCACCTCATTTTTGCCAGGTCCTAATCACGTCACTACAAACTACTCAAGGAGTACAGTACACTAGCTTGAAGTAATTTTATGTCATTACCCTGCAAGTTTAAAGGGGATTAGTGTACAAATTTTCTGTTAAAACCTTATGACTGTTATGACTGTGCTGTGTTCCCTTGGTGAATGGTCAACCACTTTATCAGCTACCCAGATACTATTGTTTTGAGACTGTGATTAACTCGTCCTTTACCAAATAGGTTACTTTGGATTTATTTTAGGGATTCCACATTTGTGTAGATTCTTTGAAATAAACAGAAAGACAGAGCACAGACAGTCCAGCGAGAGCAACAGACATATCTGCCAATGCCAGAATTTACAAGTGACCTGCATTTCATTGGGAAGCAATAGCTGCAGAGGCTACAATTTATAAAGCAGGATATTACTTAGTTAAAGCATATGCTACACATGAACCTGCAGCCCAGGCTCACCATAAAGCAGAAGCTATTAAATTTACCACCACATTTCACTGGTGTGGAATCATTTGAGGCCATCACACAGGACATTAGTATTATTGATCAAAGAGCTGTGCACTGATGCATTGAGCAAATTGCCAATACGTTATAGCAATCAGAAATTTTGTCAGCTTCTTGCAGCAACACGGTAGAGTGCTGATATTTCACTGATTGGCCGGATTCTCTGAGGCCTAAGGAATCATAGATGGCACACAAACATGTACTTCCCTCATTGACACCCGAATATACATCAACAGGAAAAGGCATCATTTATGTGCAACTTGTTTTGAGCAGAAGCACAAGGCCACACAAAACTACCTCTACATGAGGGATGTCTACACTTCCAGCAGCCTTCATGCAGATGGAGAGGAATCTATCCTCTACAGCCTTAGCTGATGTCACTGGTACATTTTGTCAAGATCCTAGCCAAGCAATCATGCAATCCGCATTCATCTCTAGTGTCTTTACAATTGTAGAAGAGTCAGAGGTGAATGAGGAATTTTGCAATGGGAGACGAAGCACCAAACAAATCAACTCAGAGGCTCAGTGCTCAGACTCCCTGCTCTGAGAACACCAGGAGGAAACTACTCTCTGCAATGTGTCACCTGAGGCCTATATGGAAGCAAAAAAATGCCTTTTGGGATGTTTCTGCAGTTATTACTTTCTCCATGCTGAAACACAACGTTGTCAACTGGCCTTCCAATGTTGAATCAGAGATAGTAGGAGCTGCAGATGCTGGAGAATCCAAGACAACAAGGTGCAGGGCTGGATGAACACAGCAGGCCAAGCAGCATCATAGGAGCAGAGACGCTGACGTTTCGGGCCTAGACCCTTCATCAGAAAAGGGGGAGGGGAAGGGGGTTCTGAAATAAATAGGGAGAGAGTGGGAGGCGGAGAGAAGATGGATAGAGGAGAGGATAGGTGGAGAGGAAACAAACAGGTCGAAGAGGCGGGGATGGGGCCAATAAAGGTGAGCGTAGGTCGGGAGTTAGGAAGGGGATAGGTCAGTCCAGGGAGGACGGACAGGTCAAGGGGGCGGGATGAGGTTGGTCGGTAGGAGATGGAGGTGCGGCTTGAGGTGGGAGGAGGGGATAGGTGGGAGGAAGAACAGG